ACCCTGGGGCCTCTGTGAGAAGGAAGTGGGAAGGGCAGGAAACGACCTCTCCCAAGCATTTTCCATCTGTCAGAACTGAGCCAGAGGACCATAGCTGAGAGCGGGGCATCCACCCAGTGCCCAGCTCAGCTCTAAATGCTCACATTTAGTTCCCAAAGCAAGCCAATGAGATGAGTGCTATCACTGTACCCATTTTGGAGACAGAAAAACAGAGACCCAGGGAAATTGAGTAAGTTGCCCAAAAGGTCACTGAAAAGTGGTGTAGGACTCTGGTCCAGAATCTGGGCGAGTAACCACTGCCTGACATCGCTTCTTGGAGGAACACTGCCAGATGCTCTGACATGCACAACCCCCCTTAGTTCCCTTAGTTCTCATGACATGCATAACCTCCCTTAGCTCATCAAAGAAAAGAGCTAATTATGATTCTGGTTATTTACATAATTTAGATGACAATCTTGAAAACGTAGTTATACTTCAGAGGTTCATGTCCCTGTGCTCTCATGTGAATATTATTTCCTTGTTGTCCAAAGGAGGAGCCTGATGCTCAGGGATATTAATGATGAAGCAGCTCCTGGGTGGTAGAGCCAGGTTCAAACCCAGGCTAAAACGTGCTCCTCCCACAGGGACGCTGCCAAGTGCAGTGCCATGACTGGGTCTTTCCAAAGGTCAGCCTGGAAGCCTTAGCTCTTACCCCATGGAAAGAAGAGCCACTGGCTATTAAGGGAAAATGGATTAGTTCTTTTTTGGTCTCCTGGTGAAGTGGAAAATAGGCAGTGCTCTAAAAAGGATCTGAAAGAATTTTCCTTACAGAGATAGAAAGAACGTAGAAAGAGAAAAATGGTGTTGAATCATAGGATCCTGAAAAGGAGTTAGGAGAAATGAGGCTCCAACTGTTTTCATTCCTTGGAAGAATCTTCCAGGACTGAGTACTGGGAAACGTGTGCGTTGAGCATGGACAGGAAGGCTGGTGGGCAGGCCGTTCTTGGTCAGGATGCCCACCCGACACTTACCCTGGGAGGATCCCTCCTGCACAGTCATGACTGTCTCGAACAGAAGCACACCTTGAACTGATAAATATACATGAACACATCTCAAACCTGAACGGAAACTCATCAGAGAAGAGAGCTAATTACAGTGCTAATTATTTACATAATTTAGATGACAATCTTGAAAACAGAGCTATACGTCAGAGATTCATAACTTTAATCAGCTTGCAAGTAATGAAAAGTAACACAGATCAAGCCAGGCTGATTTGCATGAGCATTAAACATATAGGTCAGTACCTATACATAGAGCAAAATGCCAGAGATTGCAAATTATCTTAGAGCCATTCCGGGAGAGATGGGATAATGGATCAAAAGAGAAAGTATGAAAAATAAAAATTGATCAGGACAGTTATTTGAATGTGGACTTAGATGGGTATGTAACTGCTTTAATCAAAGTATATAGCTCTAGCATAAAAGAGTATGTCTTAGTGAAAGCTTAGTGGGTGGGAACATGGCACGAATAAAGGATTTTATTACCATAAAACCATAAAGTTCAATTTTATGCAAAAATAAAAATGACAGGCAATATAACAACCGGGCTATCCAAGGAAGAGTATTCCACAGACATAAAATACTTTGTGGCTGGCTGTGGATAGTTGGATTGCTTCAGTGGGAGGTAACTAACTGACTACATGGAGTGACTTGCTCTTTCTCTGGAGGTTTGGTCCCGCCTCCAGACTTGCATACATGTTGTTCATCTGCCTGCAGTGCCCCACCTCCTCTTATCAGCAAACACATATTCAGCCTTCAGTGCAGAATGGAAGGCAATCTGTTAGCACAGTAGAAAGAGGGCTTTGGCTTGGAGTCCCAGTCTAGCCACCGTCCGTCTGGGTGGCTTGTCTTGAGCAGTTTACTTAGCTTCTCTGATCCTCTGTTCCCCCACAACCACCAATAGATAACATGGCATTAGTCCCCCATCAGTGAGCTCCTTTGTCATTTTTGCTTTCCTTATCACTATCATACACAGTTATAGACTGCTTGCTGTTTATGTGGATGTAGCATTCGGCTTGCAGTCAGAAGTCTTGAGTTCAAATTCTGGTGCTGCAACTTACTGGTTAAGCCTCGGTTTCCTCAGCCTGTAGTTCCAGCTTGAACAACATAGTGAGTCCCCTATATCTACAAAAAAGAAAATAAAATAAATTTACCTGGGCATGGTGGTGCATGTCTGTAGTCCCAGCTACTAGGGAGGCTGAGTTTGGAGGATCACTTGAGCCTGGAAGATCAAGGCAGCAGTAAACCATGATTACACCACTGTGCTCCAGCCTGGGAGACGGAGCAAGACCCTGTCTCAAGAAAAAAATGAAATGAAATGAAATGGTGGTAAAGTCTATCAAGGCAAAGACTGACAGCTAACCACCAAGCCTGTCACATGTGGTCATGTGACTGAGTAGGGCCAATAGAATATGAGCAGGGATTATGAAGCCACTCGCAGTATCTGGCCCTTAAAAGTCCTTCATGCTTCCCACCCTTACAAATTAGGGTAGTTGAGAACTGTGACCTAATAAGCCAAGTCTTGAAGGCAACAGAGATACAAGATGGGGGAGCCTTTGGTCTGAGTCATCACTTGGGAGAGTGCATCCCTCCATCCCGATAAGTAATATCCATTTTGGGCTTCAAGTGGGTGAGACACAAACATCTCTTGCAGTAAGCCACTGAGAGCTGGTGGCGGTTTATCTGTTACAGTGGCTAGTATCACCTCAACTAATACGTCAACACCGTAGAATTGTTGTGAGGGTTATAACAACACCTGGCAGGGTTCCTAGTACGTAATAGGCCCTTAGCAATGTCTAATAAATGAGCAGACCATCATGTTCTCCAAATGAAAAAATAGAATTAGTATATATAATGATGTCCCCCATGCCAAGCCAAGTTTATTTTTTTTTCTGTCAAGTTAGATACAAATAATTGGGATTCCTCAGCGGTTTGTAGGATGGTACTCTCTTGTGGCTAAATTAGTGTAACTTGTAGTTAAATTTCTCACAGATTTCCAGAATATTGGTGCTGAATGGAATCTTAGCAAGCAAGTCACACACACACATTTCTCATTTCACAGATGAGAAGACAAAGGCTTAGAGAGGGTAATTACTCTTGGGTAATCAGGGGCAGAGCAAGGGCTTTTAATTATTTTCACAATAAAAGAGAGATTTTGTGATTGCAAAAGTTACAAATGATCATGGCTTAAAATTGAGAAAATAGAAAAGTTTTATTTGATGGAGAAAATAAGATTAACTCTCAAGTAGACATGGGTTATGTTTTTAATATTTTATCTATATATGTTGTATGCAGTTTAACAGAGATCATGGTGTTTACACAATTTCAACTAGTGGGAACCAAAACTTGACCCTGGACCCCAGGGAGAATTTGGGCCTCCCTGGGCCACTCTTAGAGGCTGAGGTCTTGGAGTAGGATTGCGATGGCTGCTTTGACAAAATGGCATCTCACAGGGTGCAAGAATTCCCACTTTCTACTTGAGGAGGTCAGGGTGGAGGGCAGAGGTGGTGAGAGTTGGAACCTGCATGTTCAGGGTCAAGCCCTCCACCCAGTCTGGTGCTTCACAACTCCTGTCTGAGTGGCAGGCTCTTTGTCCAGAGGGCCCGGATGGAGCCCCAGGCGTGCAGCTTTCAAAGCCAGGAAGCTGGAGCTGCGGCTTCAAGGCTGGGAGCTTCCCCTGCCCACTTCCCTAGCAACTCTCAAACGGTTCTTCCCTCAAATGTCCCGAATGGTGACTTTTGGGAACTGAGCACTTCTTTTTGCCATAAAGTGAATTCTTCCTGATGGTAATTGGTTAATAATTTCAATAAACTCTAAGCAGGGGTTGTTCTGTCACAGGTCCCCTTTAGCCCTCAAGATGGTGGATTCATCTGTAGAAACCAAGGGAGAGCGCAGAGGGAGGCCCTAGCCGCTGGCGAAGGGCGGTTAATGGCCTCTCCAGCAGATGAATCCTGCCTTCACTACCATGGCGTCCCCCAGTTAGCCTATGAGGGTCGGCAGTGCTGCTTTGGTCACAGAGGAAACCACCGGCTGACATTTAGTGGCAAGAAGGAGATTGTTTCAAGGAGAGCAGATGTGGGGGCCTGCAGTAGTACCCTGGATCTCATGACTGGCGTTGCTCCCTGAGTGATGGAGCTTAGTATTCAGGGACGGCGTGAGGGAAGACTGAGCCTGGCTTCTTTACGCCATCATGAATGTCTTGTTTCCTTCTTTTTTTTTTTCTGAACATCCCTCTTCCAATGACTCCACTTTCTTTGCCTGCTGTTTCTCAGACTCAGTGTCTACAATGATGGTGGACGTATCTGTAGCCCATACAATGACGAGCTGCCGTGTGGCCCTTCCTCAGCATGAAGTCACATTCAAAGAACAGTCTATCACCCCAAAATACTTAGAGGTAACTTGAGCCTTCAGTTTAGTGAAAAAATGCTGAAGATACATAACAGTCATAATGCACAGAAAACTAGACGTTCTTTCCCTCCTTCCCCCACACCCAGAATAGCGGCTTCTCCCCTACCCCACTGCAGTCTCCCTCCTTCCTTCCTCCTCTTGATTTCCTCACCATTAGGTGGGGGCAGGGCCCCTCATTCCTTGCTCTTTTGCATATGTATTCTCTGCTCTTTCTGAATCAAACCTAGCCAGGCTTTGAGGTTCTCCCCCACATTGCTTCTGTTATGCTCTTAGAAAAAGCCCAGAGCTTTCTCAGGCAGGGAAGAGGGCAAGCCTCTGAATATTTATATGTTAATATTTTTCCTTATCTCACAGCTTAAATTCTTCCCTTCAGTTTTAGTTGTGCTTTACTGCAACACAGCTTCATTTTCATGACGGATGCCTTTGCAGGGGTCTGTTAGACACGGGTCGGGCTCGCAGGACGGAATAAACAAGGTGGTGACTGAGTCAGGACATTGAAAGCAAAAGCCCACGGCACACAACAGAAGCCAGTGAGTTGTTTCCAAAACCATTTGGACAGTTTCCTTCTGCCTCCAGAGTTAATTTTTCCTTTTGGTCTCCTCTTTATTTCTTGTCTTCCTCCATTCTCCCTTTTCTTTCCTTTCCGCCCTCCCAAGCTGTCAACAACAGCTCCCCTAGACTCTGCCTAGCACAGAATTTTGCTGACTTTTGAGAAATTCAAGAGGCAAACCTGCAGGGCAAAGAAAGTAAGTACAAATGTATACTGAATTTCATAGACAGGGAAAGGAAAATCCACCCTCACCTCCTGCAACTGGAAGTTAACACTTCCAGCCAAAGAGAAATGTGAAAATGAAGCCTTCACAGCATTGCAGACAAAGAAGAATGGATATTGTGCTTTTAATTGGCAAATGGGACACTGGCTCCTGTGAGGATTGGAGTGGGATGGTGGTGATGGAGAGAGGAAAATGGCTCAGAGTAAAAAAAAAAAATAACAGAGGGCGATTTTATGTGAAAAATAGAACTGTAGCTGACATGATCAATTTCTCGGTGCAGGAGGGATTAAACCACTTAGAAAGCATCTGTAAGGAGAGGTGGGCTGGGAACGTCAGGTCAAATGCCGCCTGAGGCACGTTTGAGGTCAGATACGTACTGTTCTGGGTCACCCTCCAGTTTGCACATTGCAGTTTTCTCTAAGTACACACATAGCAGCTGTCTGATAATCACTGGCTATTGATTGACCAATTAATTAAACATATTCACTGTGTCATTTTAGAAAACTTGGAAAAAGAAAGAGGTGTTTCATGGAGATCTGAAGCAAAGAAGAGCAGTTGGGAAGAACCGTACAGGATCTGTCTCCCTGCCCTCTGGGAAACGATCGCTCTCCTTTCATCGCTGCAGCCACCACCGTGCATCCCATTCAAAGGAGTTTCCTCTGTTGTTGAGCCAAGTGGTCTGCCCCCCATTTCCCCAGGTTCTGCGGGCTGAGTTTACTTCTAGCCCCTCCAAGCCCCTCTACCCCCGCCCCAGCATGTCCATGACAAGGACAGAAGCCAGTTCTGGTCTCAGGCCCCAACCGCCTCCTTCCTCTCCCACGTTCAGAGGCAGCACCTACCATGGACAGCGGCTTTTGTCAGAGGCTGCCCACGCTGGAAACTGAAGCATGACACCTCAAACCTAAAAACCTTTCCTCATTAACACTTCCTCCTAAATCACACCGCTGGCATCATCATGGGCATGCAAGTCATTTGCAGCCCAGGTGAATAAGGAGTTTTGGTTCCTCTTAATGTGAAACTGTCATAAGGCTGACTTGGTAACAGTGGGATTTCCCAGTGAGGCTGTTCCCAGTTCCATTATGCCACTTGTCTTTTTAGCATATGTGTTGTGTGCTCATTACGTGCTTATGGGTCTAAGTGCTGAGACTAAAAAAGATGAACCAGATCCATTCCTGGCCTTTAGGAATGTGGTGGTGCCAGAGTCCGGACACCAACACAAATTACTGCAATAACAATCCATGGCAGCAGGTCTAATGTTGGCTCTGTGTAACCTGCTCCAGCCCTTCCAAGGCCTAGGGTGAGAAAGGAGGACAGTCACTCCAGGCCAATGGGTGCTCTTCTTCCTTCCCTGAGACAGTTGATCTTATTTTTAGTCACTTTGGTCACTTTTAACCTTATTTTGCTATCTTGAAATTTTACCATCAGCTCCTCCCTTGCCCTCTCCCCCACACATACAGTCATCAAATTTGTTGGTTCCATCTCAAACATGTTTTGGACTCTCTCCCATATCCTCCAATTCCTGGCCCCTCTTCCTTCCTGGCCTTGAGAGCTGACAGCGGTCAAGTGCCCAACTGGTCTCCTTGCCCCCAGGCTCTCCCTCCTCAGTCCTTCTGCCATCCTGCCTACATGGTTATTTTCCTAAAATACAAATCATATTGCATCACTCCTCACTTAGAGACAATCACCGACTCTCAGCTTTCAGCGTGACTGGGCTTTGCACCATCTGCAGACACTTGGTGGAGGAGGGGGTATTAATGGCATTGCCTGGCCTGGGGAGAAATGTGTATGGAAGGGAAGGGGACTCAACCTCAGGATAGGACGGGCAGCGGCAAGGCTGTCATCATGATTGCACTTTGAGACCACCTCGGAGAGCTTTGATAACCATAGATGCCAGAACTGTCCTACCTCCTCCCCACCCCCAGCCATTGGATCTGAGTCTCTGGGTGGATCTGAGCACCTGTAAGATGTATAAATCTCCCTGGGATGAGTCATGTCACAAGCCACTGTGCTGGGGACCTCAGCAGGCTCCGTATTTTGGGATGGATGATGTGCTTTGAAAAGGCGCCCTCACATCAGCTCCACCTCCTGGGAAGAGAGACACCCTTGTCTCTCCAAGGTCTCTTGGCTCACGGTCCCAAACCAAACAGTGACTGGTGGCCCATGAGGCCATCCTAGCCCTGATTTTCACTCTGCAGCTCCCCAAGCTCTGTCCATTTCATCTAACTTACCAAAAGCCAGGCTGTTTTCACAGATAATATAATGCTTAACCAATTCCTCAGCCTAGGCGTACTCTGTTCTCTGTAGGGAGTTAATCCACAACATTTTAGTTGTTTCCTTAAAATAGCATAGTGGTATATTTTATGAGCACGACTTGAACCAAACACAATCTTTGTTTGCTTCAGGCTTGATTTGGAAAACTTCTTGATCTTCTGGGTTTTGCAATACTTCCGCAGTATTAGAAAATACTTAGATTTTCTCCTAGTTAACTACGTGCTCTTTTGGGGAGATGGGAGTAAATCTGGTTGATTTTGTAGTTCATTAAAAAGGGTATTGTCTGTTCCACTTCAGGGTTCAGCAAGAGTGTGTGTGTGTGTGTGTGTGTGTGTGTGTGTGTGTGAGATTGGCATTTTAATTTACTTCTTATTAGGAAACACACATATCCTTTGATGGTAACCACAGCAGAGCTGCTACACTAAACTACTCCATGGCTACACAAGATGACAACGTGTCGGAAGCTTCCTGTTTTCTTTGAGGATGGTAGATAAGCCAAAGACTTTTTAATTTTGTTTTGTTACATAAGTCTCTGCTACCGGCCTCAGGCTAGTCCAAACAGCCTCATTATTCAAGTCAGGGCTGGCCAGGCTTTAGGCGAGGCTGCCTGGGTGGAAACGTTCTGCTCCTTCGTCTCGTCCTCCGCACTTCATTGTGCACTGCCCCGCCCCCGCACAATCCAAGCCTAAAAATACCCCAGTTGTCCACACAGCCTCGCCTCTGCTGGCCCTGCCTCTTAATGCAGACCTTTCATTCTGTCTCCATTGCCTTGCCCCTTCCTCCACCCCTTCACCCATTTTTCCCACCTAATAATTATAAAGAAAACCATTAGCCATGAAACCCTCCCCTCCCCCCTTGTTCTTTTATCTACTTAAATATCCTTGACTGCAAGACACCCAGTACAGCACATTCATTAATTTTTAATCTGTCTCTTCTTGTGGTTACTGTGTTCCAGGGACTGAAGGACCTCGAACAATGGTCTCTGAAACCTTGGGCTGAGCTTTTTTTTTGTTGTAGGCAGGGATGTAGCTGAGGGCATAATGGAGTCTGATCAAATAAATATCTGTTATCTGAAATAGCCTGCTCAAGGTGAATATGGATTTTCATCACATTAAACCCAAGGTGGTGAGACAGGGTTTTGGGCCTGAACATTATTAGCAAAAAGAAACATAATTTTGAGAGATGGTAAACTGAAAGAATTATTCCTCGTAGGAGAGCTGTTCTGGAGGCAGCCCAGAGGACTGTGAGGACAGACGGCTGCAGAACCACAGGGCCCCCTCATTGCTGGTTCAGAGGAAGGAAGCCCAGGGAGGGCCTTATGGAGAAGCTCTTGCTGCTGTTGGTGTTCCTGGGGGTCCTGCCACAACCCACTTCTCCTTTTGCAGTGCACACTCTCCTCGGGGGATCTCTTCCACTCTACCCCTACCTGTCTGTGCCTCCCACAACTGGGTCTCCAACCTGCTATCTCCCCTGAGCTCCAGAACCATGTATGCGGTGGCTCCTGGGAATCCCATGTAGGTCCAGAACAGAACTCACTCTCCAGACACCCCTAGTCCTGCTCCCAAGCATGCCCTTCTCCTGAGCATTCCTCTCATAATGGATAGAACCACTGCCTACCCATATTCATAAGCCAGGGAACTTGAAGTCCTCCTTGGTTTATTTTCTCCACCATTTTTCCCAACAATTTGGTTGTGAAGACTCCCAATTGTGTCTCAGACGCATCTCTCGAGTCCATCTGAACCCTCTGCCATAGTTCATTCATTTGCCTTCCCTGGCCTGGAAAGACAAACCCCTCCCGCTGAGCTTCTCAACATGGGCACATGTTCCATCTGGCCTGTCTTCTATAGCACCATATTGTTACACAGCACATGGCCCATCAGGCCACGGATGAAAAACCTTCCAGGCTCTTAGAAGTCTTCAGGATAAGGTCTAAACTCCTCTTCACCGGGCATGGAGAGTAGATGTGAGACAAACGCCTTCAGCACTCAACGAGCTGGTTCATATCATGCAAGGTTCCTGATTTAATGAATCCAACCAGCACTGGAATGTCTACCACAGGCGAGCGACCCTGCTCCGTATTGCTCAGGACAGTCTTGGTTTATGCCAATTGTGCTACTATCTCATCGAGTTAGCCCCCACTCTCACTCTGAAAGTTTCCTGATTTGAATGATGAATTTTATGGTTCCCAACAAGAAGGGAGCTACCGTGTTAGGTACTGGAGATACAAAAGTGAAATGGTAGGGATGGAGGGGTTCTGCCCTCAAGCTCACAGGAGGGAAGCAAAGAAGCATTTATAGTTCAGCATGATAAATGCTCAACGTAGGCAGTGACAGGTGCCACAATAGTGCATGGAGGTTTCAATTAGAGGGTTCTTGTCAATTCACTGAAAATCAGTTTAATGAAGAGCTGACTTACCTCAAACTGACAGAGAACTAGATTCTGCCAAGTCTAGGAGAGCTGGATGGAGTGGCATTGCTTTGTGACTCTGCAAGAAGAAACTCTTTCTCTCACTTTCCTTCTTTATGTGGCCAAGAGCTGGGGTTGTGGTTGGGGGTGTGGGAGCAGGTGAAGCAGGACAGGCATGGTGTGGAGTCAGCCTCAGGGGCAGAAGTCTATTGCTGTGGAGGGCCAAGGCCTCCATCTTCTTCTCAACAGGCTGGAGATATCAAAACTAAGCCCTGGGGCAAAAATCTCCAAAATCTGTTGAAACCACCTATGCACCAATATGGCTGTAAACTCTGTAGATGGTTTGCGGACATTTTTGGTAACTTGATAAGTTAGCAAATTAACTTTTGGTAAACTGGTTGTTTGTTTGTTTTGCTTGTTTGTTTTTTGTTTTTGAGAACTGGCTTTTAGAGAAATGGGTAGGTTCAGGTCTTTGGATATCAATAAAGAAATATGGAACATTTGAGGCAAAATGGTTAAAAAGCTCGGAGCATGGATGCAGTTGAGCTGAGTTGCAATTCTGGCACTTTCACTCTAGTAGCTGCACGGCCCTGGCAGTCAGTTAACTTTCTGGAGATCGTTTCCCAAATTAGGAGAGTGCTGTCTAAGGTTTTTGGAGGATTGAATTTGCTGATCTATGCAAAGGCTCTTCCTAGAATACCAGGTCCAGAGCACGAGGCAGATGTTATTAACATTATTATCATCTTACTGGATCAATGTTTCCAATCCCAAATTATTGGCTGGCCAGGGGCCTTGGCTGTCGCTGGGAGAGGACTCAGGAGTGGGGACAGAGTGAAGAGGTGCAGTCGCCCCATTGCTGGTTCTCTTTGTTACTGTGAATCGGGTATCCATACCTTGAAAACTTCTCAGGAGATTTCCAGTGTGAACCTGGGGGCACTAGTCCCAGCCCCAGAGATCCTGGCTGAGTTGTTCTGGGATGGCCTGGTCATCAGGGTGGAAAACGTTTTTTCTGGTGATTCTGATATGGCGCAGAGTCTGAGAACCACTGAACTAGACCTAAGGGGCTTTGTCTGTGCCTCTCCATCGGGAGTGTGCCCATTCTGGGGTGGGGTGAGAAGCATGTTGTTCCCTGCCCCCCACCCCAAAAGGGATGGGAGAACCAGAAACCTGAGGGGTCTGTTTCAATCCCGATGCTGCTCGGGGCTGTCTGTGCAGAAGGGCTCTGGAGAGCACTCGACACACAATACTCAGATCTCTCGGAGGGAGAGCTTGGCTTCCCCTGCAGAACTGTGCTAAGAAGAAAATTCTCTCCTGGTTAGGTACAAAATATTTGCCTTCTAAGGCGATAAACACGACCTTTCACAGCAAGTGGAGAGCCTGTGTTCAGGCGCTTACAACAAACAAGTGGAGGACATAGGAGTTTGGCCTCAGATTTCAGCAACCGCGGTCCCTTGGGTTCCCAAGCTTTCTCTTTTTCCTCCTTGGTGGTGATGCTCTCTGGACCCATAGCCTGAGGGTGAGTTAGAGAAGGGAGAGGGCCCTGTTTCTCCTAAATCCTCTGGGGCACCCAGCAGAGAGGGGCAGTGCTTTTCTGCAAGTGTCAGGGCCTGGCTTAGCCAGTGTCAGTGCCTGAGCTGCAGAAGGCTGTGGCAAAGTCTGCCCTGAAGGAGAGGTCAGTGGGAACAGAGAAATAAAAAATCCATTCATCCTTCCTTCCTTCCTTCCTTCCTTCCTTCTTTCCTTCCTTCCTTCCTTCCTTCCTTCTTTCCCTCCCTCCCTCTCTCCCTCCTTCCCTCCTTCCCTCCTTCCCTCCTTCCCTCCTTCCCTCCTTTCCTTCTTTCTAATTCAGGGCAGGATAAGAGTCTGTCCAAATGCAAGGTAATGCTACCTTTTACTTTGTAGCACTTGCTGCTTGATCTTTGGACTCGAGGGGTACTTAGGAGGATAAAATCAATTTCACTGAAACTTTCTTTCTTTCTCAGGCTTGCATCTGCCCACTAAAACAAGTTCTTCCGTAAGAGGGAGATTTTAAAAGTCTGTCAAAGGACACTACCAAGACGGCAGACCTGTGAATTGACAGCCTTTTTGGGGTCCTCCTAACACCGTGCACTCCATGAACTTCTTTGGATGGTAGCTTAGAAGGTGGTATTATTCTTCTCATGGGATCTGAGATGCTTTGTCACATAGGGTAAGAGAACCAAAAGAATGAGGCAGAGCTCAAGCAGGGCATGGGAGACTGGCGTTACCTGATATGGCTTTTCATTTACTTTTCCTTCCAAACAGCTCTACATGGTGAATTGGTACCTGAACTTCTTTCATCCGAGGGAAACTGGGCCATAGGACTTGTCAGTGAAGCTCAGCATGCTATAAGAGCATCTTGGTTTGTCCTAGCTGAGGACTGGAGCATCTCAATCTCTAGTCCACAAACTGTGAGTTCTGTCAAAATGCCAGCTCAGTGAGGGCTGCAGCCCACCTGAGGCCTGCCTGTGTACGCAGCCACACCCTCCCCCATGGGGCGCAGACAGACCCTTGTTGTTTGTCTGTCTTTATGACATAAATCCTAAAGAAAGAGCCAACATCAGACAGAAAAGACTGCAGGAAGGGGATTTTTTAAAAACTTGTAGATACTGGAGAGAATAGGCCCAGTGTCATTTTTATGGTAAGTCTGCCCGTCACAAAGAAAACGAAGAGCTAAGGTTTTTTACATTTTTATTGATTTATTTTTTAGTGCTTATTCAACCATGTTTTCTCTACTTAGGCCTTATTTCTTGCTGGCCATGCCTCAGAATGTTCCTACCCAGGGAAGGGCAGCTTTGGAAGAGGCACAGTGCTCTGCCACAGCCCGCAGGACCGAGCATCAGCCTGGAAAGAGGGCTGACCCCACACCCGCCCACCCACGCACCCACTCACTCATTCATTCATTCAGTGCTCAAAATATCGCCTTGTGCCTTCTATGTGTCAGGCAAGGCTGAGACCTGACTCCCACTCATGGCTGCTAGGTGGTGAAACTCAGCTCCTTCGCACCCTAGAATGGTCAGGAAGAGCCCCAGGCAGCCCCGGCGAGAAGGAGCAGGATGAAGGAGCTGCTTCTTCATAATGACATTGTCCAAGAATGACCATGCTCTTCACCGACGCTCCATCAGCCCAGCATTGTGCAGCTGAGTGGATGTTATTATTCCAGCTTGTGAAGGGACATGGTGAGTGCCGGAGTCAGTGAATCATCCAGAGATGTGAGAGGTGGAGTGGGTGGGCAGTGAAGCCTCCAAGCTAGAGACGTCCTTTGTCCTCACAGGCATCTTTGGCTGTAGTACTGGGTTTGCAGGTACATGGAGGTGACACATGCCACCTCTGAGCCATAAAGCCTTACGACACTGGGCACTTGCTCCTCTATCTGCTCCTCTCTCTTCCTGTGGGCTGGGCTGGATGGGCAGTGGGACCCAGCCTTTATCATGCTTGTGAGGCCAACACTGGGGATGCCAGGACCTGAGAGGGAGAACCCGGGTCCCCAAAGAGTGTGTGAAGTGGAACCTGCTGCCAGTCTAGACTGCTTAGCTCTCCTGTGTGTGAGGCAAACACACTTCTGTCTTATTTAAGCCACTGACCCCTTGGTCCAGTTACAGCAACTTTGCCTTTGGCTTACTAATTTAGAGGGGTAAAAGAGCAGCCCTCTTTTCCTTTCCTGAGTTTAGAACCAATTAAGAGAAGGTGAGTAGACCCCGAGAGATGCGGAGCAAAATACTACGTGTGTTACTGGTCATACTGCGCTGGAAAACGCAGCATTGAAGCGGTGCCATGCAGGCTTGCTGACAGCTCTCTGTGGAGTTAGATATACCTGCCTAGTCCCTGGTGTACCCGACAGCTGCTGGTACCAGAGGCATATGGTGGGACAGAAATGATGCCTCCAGGAGAGAGAGAAGAAGTTGAGCCAAGAAGCCTTGTTTTTCCCTCTGAAACTCACCAATTGGGTAGGTCTTTTCTCCTCTTCTGGGCAGAGTAGGAGAGGCAGGCGGGATGTGGGGGAGGCTGCCACAGTCGAAGGCCTCTCCCAGAATGTGAAGAATGGTAGGTCCCGCTCACAAGGCAAATGCCCCACAGTGGGCACTGGTCGTGTTGCTACCAAGACCCTGCGCAGGGGTGAGACCACTGAGCATTCTCTAATCTTGGGTGCATCAGCTGGAGGGTTTCAAACAGGGGTCTGGGACGAGTCATCATCAAACGGTTTCATGAAAATCACCTCCATTCCTCCATTTCTGATGACTTGTCTGTGGACACGCTGGTGTTTGTGGGGCAGACAGAAGGACGTTGGGGTGTGCAGTGGGTGTGCATGTTTCCGTGGAGGGATGAGTCGGGAGCAGGTCTTCCCATTTCTTAGATCAATGAGTTTTTGAGACATGTGAATCTCCACATGTTTTGTTTTTCATTTCAGGAGCCCAGACATATTTAATACTTTTGGTACTGGGGCTATTGATAAAGAAGAACATCTTTCTAGGGCTAATGAAGAACAAACCCACAGGCCCTGCACTTGTTCAGGCCTCAGCATCTCTAAACCAGAGACTGTGCAGTGCTGGAACTGGCTTTGCTCTCTCTGCTGTCTACCCTCTGTAACACAGTGGTAGCAGAGTGTCCCTCTAAGACCCAGGTCTGCTGTCATTCACCTTCTCCAAAACCTCTAAGGGCTTCCCATGTCCTAAAACATGCAGTACGAATCCCTTGTGTGGCATTATAAGCCTGCTCTGATCTGGCCTCAATGGACATTTCCAGCAGTAATTCCTCTTGGCCCACTTTAAGTTTTCCTTCCTCCATCCCTCCCTCCTTCCCTTCCCTTTTTCCCTCCCTTTCTTCTTTACTTTTGCATTGGGAAAGGTCTCAGCATCTTGGATTATGTAATAGTCTCCTAAGGGGTCTCCCTGCTTCTACTTTGACACCCTACTCTCTATTCTCAGCAACCAGACCAATCCTGTTTAAAACCCAAGCCAAATTTTTTCAGTCTGCTCAAAACCCTCCAATAGAGGGCTGCCAGATTTAGCAAATCAAAATACAGGACACTCAATTAAATTCAAATTTCAGATAAATAACAGGACTTTTTTAGTGTGAGTATGTTTCATGCAATATTTGGGATATGCTTGTACTAAAAAAAAACTATTGTCCACTTGAAGTTCAAATTTACAAAGCATTCTATATTTTATCTTGTGACCCTAGACCAATGACTTCCCACCTCACTCAAAGATAAAGGCAAAGTCTTTACAACGGCCCTGTATGATTTGGCACTTCAATGTTGTTCTGACCTCATCACCCTCACTCTCTCACCGCCTCCGCTTCCCCGGTCCACTTCCCCACTGACGGCTCCTGGAACACACGTAGCACGTTTCTGCCCCAGGGACTTTGCACTTGCTGTCTGTGCTGCCTGGAACACTCTTCCCTCCCAGATGGCCACGTGTGTCTCTCCCTCACTTTCCGAAGCACTCTGTCCACATGCTGTCTTTTCAGCGAGGCCTTCCTGATGAATTCCCACTCTCCAGGTTCTGCCTTCTCCTACCCTCCTTTCCTGGTTTTTCTCTACAGCACCGGCCATTATCTGACAGATACTGGATTCATTTGCTGATTTCCCCCTTGTCAGCCTTCCTCTTCAACCCTAACTGGAATGCAGGCTCCCTAAGAGCAGGCACTTGTTTAATTCAGTGCTATAATCCCAGTGCCTACAATCGGTCTGCCAGAGTAGGTAATCAAGGCAGAGATGATGAATAGACAAATCAATCAATAGACAGATAAATTTATAATACAACTCTAGGGAGTGGTAAGTGCTACGGAGACAAATTAAGCAGAGCAAGAGTAGAGAGTGAGGGGCGGCACCCTCTCCTGTGAGCTGGGCTGCTCTGAGAAGGTGATATTTCAGCAGAGACCTGAGTAAAGTTTCAATGAGGCCCCTCCGCCTTCAACCTTACCTGTGTTCTTTGGCTACCTGAAACTACCCTCTTCCTCGCCTCCTTGGGTACAAGTCCCACCTCAGCTGCTTAGACAGCATGGTCCTTGGACCCTGTCTTATGAACACATCATAAAACCAGGCTTTCCCCTCTATTCTGCCTACATAAATGACAGAGAGAACGCCGAGTGAGCTGGAGGGAGTGATGAGAGGTTTATTCTCCACACATCTTAAACTCTGCGGTTCCTGCTGTTTGAATCACTCTGACAACCTCTGGCAGGGGCTTGGCATTTTAGTGCCCCTCCGGGTACGGGCTCATCCTAGGCAAGAGGGACTACATGGGACATTGCTGGGAGATTCTCTGAAGCTGCTCCGTTTCTCCACTTGGTATCAGATGCCACAGTCAAGGGCTTTACCCAGGGAACCAAAATAAATGTCATGTTCTGTGAGGGACACATCCTGGGAGTCTAAGGATTTCTTATCTTATACATTTAAAACCAACAAACTCCTTTCTCTCAATAAGGACCATCTGGAAGATAGTCGTTTTGAAGCTTAAAAAAATCTAATGCTTTAATCTTCTTATGTCTTCAACCATCAGGTCTTCTTTTTCAAACTCAGCTGGGGGATAAAGTTCTTTATCTGCATCTGTGTTGCTCGCTGAGAGGCTGTGTCCCTGGAATGGCACACAGAACCACAGTGCCTTACCTCAGAAAGTCTTGTTTAGAGATTTCAGAGAAGCGTGGTGTTAAACTCCTTCAGCAGACGCAAAAGCCCTCCGTAAAACTGCAGGATTAGCGCCTCTGTCGGGAGGGGTTTTGTGTCTCTCAATGAATTTCATTTTCGTCTTCGCTGTCTCCTCAGGATTTGTCAGATATATTTTGCAAATTTAAATGATAAAACAGTTGTGTGAAAAACTTTCTTATAGCTTCCAAATATTACAGAAACTGAACAGCTTTGCTCTGAATGAGAAACCCAATAACAAATTTTATTTTCATTTCATTTTCTCTTTGGCTGTTCTGGGAATTTATATTCGCCATTTAATTTGGCTGTTATGGTTTTATAAGGATGTGATCTCTGTGTATAATAATAACATTTCTAAAAAAGAATTGTAAGTTGTACTAAAGCTTTAGAGACTAAATTTCTAAAAGCTAAATATTTTTATCATTTTATTTTCCATGTAAATTTTGAAAGTCATGCTGTTTTCAGATTGGTACCTAAAACCTGAAGGTAAATCAGAAATGCTGGAATTTTCTTCCATCTCATTATATAACTCCCGAAAAGTCACTTTCCCAATGATAAAAAAGTAGCATGTGTGAAGTAAAGAATATTTAAGTTTTTGTTTGTAATATGGTTAGAATTCAGCTAAAGATATATGAGACTGATGAACAAACACTGGTAAGCATTCACAATAGAACTGGAATAAATTTATCTATCTTCTGTTTATATTTACATTATCAAAGCTTATTAACTTATGATTTCCTCTTTATCAGAGGCATGACTATATCATAAGAGTAGTTGATAAGACCAAGTTCATAACCTATAAAGAAATATTTATGGCAACTCACATGACTTTCATTTATTAAAGGCCAGAATTGGAGGCAGACATAATAATAACTATTATTTATTAAATATTTATTCCATAAGAGCCACAATGTTAAGTGCTTTACATGAATTATTTTATTTATTCCCCAATTAGTTGAATTCCATTATCACCATCTTACAGATGAATTGAGACTTAGAAAGTGTGTTTTCAAGGTCACATAACTGGCAAGGGGTAGAGCTGTAATTTGAACTCTAGAGGCTTAAAGCTTAACCACTATGCTATAATGCCAACCAGCTTTGGAAAGAGTCATGGAAGCAGAAATACAATTCATTATATAAACAGTTTTCTTTCTGGCAAGAATTAAAGTGACATTCTTGCTTCTGAGTAAAATGGTGTATTCTCTGCTCTCTCTAGGACTTGAAATCTCGATTCCAGCATTTCAAAGCTCAGCGCTTAGCTGTTCTAATGAACATTTAATACTTTACCATTCTGTTAAAACACAACTCACATTTGCAAGTCAAATAATGCTTAATGATAACAGAAAAGAAATCTATGAGAGCGGCAAAGAAGCACTGCCCCATGAAGAATTGATGATGTCCAAGGTCACAACTCAGCAGAGCTCAATCAGAGCTAAGTTTCCAAGAGATGACTCATACAGAGAAAATGTACACAGGACACAGAATTTATGAATAATCAGAGTGTGAGAAGAAATAGACGCATCAGCAGAACGAACGTGTGGTTGTACGGTCAGGGCTCTGAAGATGTCTTGGTAGCTCCTGAATGTCTAGCAGAATGCGTTTCCTATCACAAGCATGCCATCAAGACTTGTTGAATAAATGGATGAAGAAAAACTTCTAATCTCATAGGAGGCCCAGTATTCCCCTCAGCAGATTTGCTCATGTCACAGTACAAAGAACTCTAAAGGATACTTAGAATTTGTCAAGAAGAAAGGAGAGATGACTGGTAAGACTGGTTTTCTTGATCCTCAGTTTCAGAGAAAAGAAGGACTTGGGGGAAGAATAACTGGTAAACAAAGAGAAATGGAGTTATCGCCATAATTATCAATGCATGTTCAAGTCAGCGTTACCCTTTTTAAGTAGAAGTGGATGATTTTAAAGTCTAGAGAAGCCCAGACAGGTTGTCGACAAAGTTTCACAGTTGGTAAGATCATTACAAAGATTTTCTCCATCTGAGAGTAGACAAAAGACACTAATAAATGATAAGTAGACTAGAACATCCCCAAAGGGCAAGATCAATGATGCATGAAAGAAAATATATAGGTAAATTAGACAGGCATCCTCAAATGCCCTTCTGCAGAATATTGGTATCCAACTAATAAAATGATCATAATGTTTTCCTAATGTACAGGAAAATAAGTTGAAGTATAACTTCCTCAATTGAACACTCACGTCTTCTCCCTCATCAAATTTTTTCTTAAAACTTCCATATCTATTGCTATCAAGAAATACCTGAGGAAAAAAGAAAAAAGAAAACAACTTCCATATCTACTATGTGAAAGAATGGATAGAAATGAAATATTATTGGAAAATTTCAGGAAAAGATAATTACTAATCTAATACTTTGATCTTTATGGGTATATGTTTATTCTTTTTGTGATTTTATAGTGTATACTGTTTTTGCTAATAAAATTATTCTATGTTGTGATGAAAGGTTGGGTTTGTTAACTGCTGCATATCACATTCACAGATGCAGGTTTTGCTGCGAAGCAACCCACTTCAACCTCAGAGGTTCAAAGCAATAAACATTTATTATTTGCCATGATTCTGTGACTCTGTTCTGGTCTGGGTTGCCTCGGCTCGTCTCTGCTGAGCTTACTCATGCCCCTGTGGTCAACAGGACCTGCAACATCTCATTACAAGGGCATGGGTATAGAGAAAGGAAGAATCTGTGGCCGTTCAAAAGAACTATGCCAATATGCAATATGGATAAGCCTGGGCTAGCCTGCTACAGAGTGAGAAGCATGTGATGAACTAAAACAACGCAATGAGCAAACTACAAACTACCTAATGTGAATGGAGCCACCCTAGATCATCCAGCTGCTCAGCCAATTTGCAGGCTCCCAGGAAGTAATACGTGGTTGCTGTTTTAAGCCATGAAGTTTTGGACTGGTTTCCTGTGCAACTATGTTAGGTTGAAATGTCACTTTCTGGTGTCTTAAGGTTGTGTTTTTTGGGAAACAGATTCTCAGGAAGATTTTCATGCATGCGATTTATTGAGAAATGCTCTTGGGACTATCTGTGAGGGCATGAGGGAAACAGGATTGAACAGAGGCTCCAAGAGTAGCCTTAGTCAATCTTATGGGAGCTCTGAATATGGAAGGAAATTTCAGAGGTGTCTTTCATTGATATAAGGGGTGTGAGTCATTGGATTGGAGCGGACCCTGAGGGAGCAGTGTAACCTGGGGTTAGGAAACTCCCTTTGGCAGAGGGCAATTCCTGGGGAGGCAGGGACTCAGCTGTGGCTATCAGCAGCCAACACTTCCAGGAAATGGG